ATGAAAGTTAGCATATAACCAATGTTTTGTTATTAGATAATAAAATGAATTTGTTTGCTACCTTTAGCTATGTCATCATCTTTTAAGAATATCATCGTGTTGTCAACAATTGGCTTCTTTGATTTCCTCACCCAATCTTGGGTGCAAACCAAAGCCTCTATTATAGGTGCGGAAGTTTGCTCGGTAACTATAATTATGCGACCGCTTGTACTAAAAGCGGACTCGGAAGCCACGGTAGATATTGAATGCCCAAAAGATCTAATAACATAAACATAAATGTTAAATTATACTACATTATAATAAAAATATAAGTAATTAAAATTATACCTTTTGCCATCCGTGAGAGAATTGGGTAACGAGATGCGTTATTTTTCCACCAAATCAATATATCAAAGTCCTTAACGCCTTGGGTTTGTCCTTTGTTCAAGTATCGTGTTAATTCCGTTTCCTTTAAAGCCGATGAATTCACCGATTGAGCAAAATAGTCACCCACAAAGTCGTCATCATCATCAATATGCACAGCATCTTGACTACCACCGGTTTCAAATGGTACATAGAGTTGGTATTTGTAACAATTAAAAAGTTCTCAAATCTCGATTCAATATCCTTGATTAAAGAGTTAGTCTTCGTAGTAATATCTAATTTGGAAAGGGGTTTATTTTCCAGCATCTTGTACTTGATCAATGTTTCAAAAGCATGTCTAAGAAATTCTGTCTTCATTCGCGGATCCAAGATAGTCGCAAAGTACATGTAGTCATTCATTCAAATTTCAAAATCTCCCCAATACTTCTCATATTTGTCTATCATATCCTTCCCAATTGAATAAAATCGTTTGTTTTTTGACCAAACCCGTATATGTTTGTAAATGCCACATACTTCTCTAAAAAACCGATTTGCCAATGGTTTTGAAGTCGTCGACACCAATTCTGTTTTCACCTTGAACTTCTCAAGAAAAGAGACCATTGCTCGACAAGTTACAAAATCTTCACTCACGGGGGTTACCACATCTCGTGCAAAGGAACGATCTATCAAAAAAATGTTACAAAATTAATATATCATTTTGGAGGGCTGTAACTTACTTAAAACACATGCAAATTAGGTTTTTCCAAAGTCTATAACTATTGCCAAACAATGAACTATAATTTAAAAAAAAAATCAGCCAAAACGGACTCATAACGAAGTAGATATGACAGCTTAAAGTTAACGAAAAATTCTAAAATAATGCTATTAACATATTCAAAACAGCTTTGATATATCATTTTTGGAGGGCTGTAACTTACTCAAAACACATGCAAATTAGGTGTTTCCAAAGTCTATAACTATTGCCAAACAATGAACTATAATTTAAAAAAAAATCAGCCCAAACGGACTCATAACGAAGTAGATATGACAGCTTAAAGTTAACGAAAAATTCTAAAATAATGTTGTTAACATATTCAAAACAGCTTTGATATATCATTTTTGGAGGGCTGTAACTTACTCAAAACACATGCAAATTAGGTGTTTCCAAAGTCTATAACTATTTCCAAAAAATGAACTATAATTTTTAAAAAAAATCAGCCCAAACGGACTCATAACGAAGTAGATATGACAGCTTAAAGTTAACGAAAAATTCTAAAATAATGTTGTTAACATATTCAAAACAACTTTGATATATCATTTTTGGAGGGCTGTAACTTACTCAAAACACATGCAAATTAGGTGTTTCCGAAGTCTATAACTATTGCCAAACAATGAACTATAATTTTAAAAAAAAATCAGCCCAAACGGACTCATAACGAAGTAGATATGACAGTTTAAATAGAGCTAAAAATTCAGCAAGAATGCAGAAAAAAAATTACCTTCCATTTCATACTCATAGAAAGCTTTTTCTAAATCCACCGCGATCTTCAATAAGTCGTAAGTTGAGTTCCAACGAGTGGGACAATCGTTGCACAAAAATTTGGTTGATTCCACCCCGACGGCTTTCATGCACTTTTTAAATAGAGCAATCCGTTGTGTGGACTTTCTAATATATCTTACGGCGTCTTGCAAACATTTAACACTCTCGTCAATTTTATTCATCCCGTCTCTCACAATTAGATTGATAATGTGTGCCATACACCTAATGTGAAAGTGTTTTCCTTCATTGTACAAGTTTGGTAATTTGTTTTTTAGAAACTCTATTGCTTTGTCATTAGAACTTGCATTATCAACCGTACAAGTCATGATATTTTTAATACCCCACCCTTGAATACATTTCAACACTTCTTTTCCGATATCTTCCCCCCGTTGACTATCTAATTCTTTAAAGTTGATTATCCTTTTGTGCATCTCCCAATTATCATCAATAAAGTGTGCGGTAATGACAATATAATGCACCCTTTTACTTGGACTTGTCCAACAATCGGTGGTCAAATGAACCATGTTAAGTGGATTACATAAGAATATTACCAACTTATTTCTTTCTTCTTGATAATAAAGTGACACTTTTTTTGAAATTGTTGTTCGACAAGGTACAACCACCTTCCCGTTTAGTGCGTTTGTGTATTCAATAAAGGCCTCATTTTCTACAAATTTAAAAGGTAGACCACCCACTACAAACAAATTCAACATAGCCTTTTTAATTCGTTTGTCGTCATGTTTCCAAGTGCTAACACTACCCTCCCCGGTTGGTTCTTTTTTAAATTGTAATGTTTGTTGGTTTTTCAAATTCTCGGGGTTTTGTTTACAATTCTTTGCATGCTTATTTAAGCTAGACGTACCGGTATTATTCCCGTCGGCTTTGAGAACCCTCTCGCACCATTTGCACTTTCCATGCCGAACTCCATCAATAAAAATCTTCTCAAATGATTTCCAAAAATCGGACCTTGTTTTCCCTACTCTTTTTCTCTTTTGTGTTGGTTCCTCATTGATTTCTTGTTGAGTGTTGTCAACAAACACATCGTCATCATCAAACTACAATAGATAATAATAAAAACACAATTAAAATACAATAACGCAATCTTAATAACAAAATAGTTGTTCTATTCATATTATTGCAGCAAAACATCCATCTATCTTTAAGCAAAAAGGCTTGAATAAACTTGCAATTCATAATATTAACAAAAAAAAAAAAAGACTTTTGCTTTGTTATTAACAAATTTATATGTTTGAAGTTATTAAATTTTACTTAAAAAGTTGTATATTAATATATCATTTTACTCCAAATGCAATAGTGAAAAAGACCCATTAATTCCTAAAGAGGACCAAAATACCCTTTAGTTAGCCCCTCAATTTTACTCCATTTGTCTTTCATTTTCCAGCTTAGCCAACACAGAAACATGAAAAAATATTAGACATGTCTATTTTAACAATAAACCAAAAAAGAGCATATTGCCAACCTCAAGGAAAAGACCATAATGCCCTCGTGTGAAAAGCATGAGAATGAGACTATCTGTTATTCGAGTTTGTAGAAGGTGCTTTTTTCAATTTACAAGACAAACAACCATTGAGATAATTTAACTTAATACACTCTCAAATCCTGATTATCAAGGCCATAAGTTAAGAAAGCCACATAGAAATATTTAAATGGCTGGATTACCAAGGTCAGATGTGTCATTAGAAGATTAGGTTCTTCAGGGCTAGTTTGGGAAGGTAAATGGCTAGAAATATTTAAATGGCCGTATTATATGTTGATATCAACTGTATTATAAGTTGTAATATAAGTGATATAGTAAGCTCATTCAACCGTATTCTATTGCAAGGACTAATTTAATACACCCCCTAACAATACGGTTGTGCATCCATATTATATCTTCAAATATAACCGAATTATATTTCCCATTCTCTAGTAGTGTCAATTATCGACTCCAGTTCAAACTGTGATTCCCACAAGAAAGTAAAAAAAAAAAACACAAACTTCAGAACACATGAAATCAAAATTCTTGGCAACTTACTTGTGTAGATTCATTGTTATCTACCCAATTGTCCACCATTGGTCTTTAATTGATTGTAGGAGATTGATTTGAAGTTCAATTGAGAATGAATGGAAGTTGATGTTTTGATGATCGTTAACTTGGACTTGAAGTTCGATGGATTGGAAGCACAAGACGGGAATGTTTTGTTGATTGCCCTCGTCGATCGCCTACAGAGAAAGCTAGAAAAAACAACGAGTCATCGATCACTTAGAATTAGATCGTCGATTCAAGTTGCCCAATTACACGAACACTGGAAAAGAAACCGGTGGTATTCCGGTTCTACAATAAGCACGTTGCCTATACCCGGTTCCACATTAAACCTAATCCGGTTCTTTGACCCACTAAACCCGGACCGGGTCCATTAAACCCGATTCCGGTTTTTTAAACACAAACGGTTCAAAAACCTGAATTAACCGGACCCGTTGGACCCATACCCGAAATACCCGGAACCCGGATAAGAGTAATTTTGAAACCCAATACCCGGACCGTTTAAGTATTTTCCGGTTATACCGGTTCCGGTCCGGTTTTCCGGTTTTATGACTCATCCCTACACTAGATTATAACATAACTCACTTCTTTTATTTTAGTTTCATTTTTTAGTCCATTTTTTTTATCGGAAAAAAAACGAATATACCATTGTTCGTGATTTTTCGTCTCATTTTCATAGAGATCCATATTGATATATAAAAAATAAACTTTTTTTTCTTCAAAAACTCACTTCATTTTCTTTGTTTGTTGAAAAGTTAAGTTCTATTTTTTTAAAGAAAAAAAATTAATAAATATATCAAAATTCATATTTTTTGGTACTCTTCAAATATAGATTCATACTGATGTTTAAAAAAAATCGAAATTTCAGTTCAAATTCACATTGTGAACCTGTTCAGATTCACATTATGAACCTGCTCAGATTCATAGTATGAATAATATTATAATAGTAAGTCGGATTCACAATGTGAATAAATCCATTTTTTGATTTTACAAAACTAATTTATGAGTAATGCAAACGTTAAAATATTATAAAACTACATTAAATATATTTCGATTCATATGTAAATTTCACTAAGTTAATTTGCGAATGATCAAAGAGTTGAAATAGTAAGTCAAATTCACATTGTGAATGTTACAAAATGAAATATTTATAGTTTAGATTCACAGTGTGAATCTGAACTGAACGACTTTTTTTTTTATTATTATGAATGTTACAAATTGAAATATTTATAGTTTAATTGACAGTGTGAATCTGAACTGATTGGGTTTTTTTTTTTCTTTAATCAGTATTGATGTTTATTAATAAAATACAAAAAATTAATATTTTTGGTATAATTAGTTTTTTTTGGATAAAAAACTTAAATATTGACAAAAATAAAAAAATGAAGTGAGATTTTTTATAAAAAAAATCGTTTTTTATATATCAACATGGATCTCTATGGAAAGAGGACGAAAAATCTTGAACAATAGCATATTCGGTTTTTTACTTAGATAAAAAATGTGACCTAAAAAAAAAAATGAAAAAAGAGGTGGGTTTTTTGGTAAGACCATCTCCAAACCACCTCCACTTTTCCCCCAAAATGAAGTAAAAATGGAGTTTACCCTGAGTGATGCCAACTTTCAGACCGACAAAGATAACTTCCGCTCTCAGTTGGGCTGGATATTTACCCTGAATACAGGAGATGTGACTTGGAAAAGTTTCAAGCAAGAGACTTGGCTAATTCTGTAATGTCACACCCGAAAACCATGAATGGCGGAAACGTTCTGGGGCGGAGGACGTCATGTACAGTATCACAATAATGAATAGTAGTAAACAAGCAACAACATCATCCATTGCATTAATAATATAATTTTAATACAAGTGTTCTGACATGTTTAATAGACACTAAAGTATGAATCAAAAAATGAAAGATGAGTCTTGAACGAGCTCCATCTTCTCTAAACCTTGCATTGGTACATGTCTACTGTTTACCTGAGGATACAAGTTATTTTGAAAGAGAGTATCAGCTTTAAAGCCGGTGAGATCATAAGTATTTTAGTGTCTGTATTTGTAATTATGTATTTGTAAGAATGTATTTGTAAGACTGAGTATGTAAAAGTTTTGAATAACCTAGAAAACCCTATGCTTCCTACTGAAAGTAGCCTTTTACCAAGGCATCTAGTATCTAACTGTGTCTATTGTAAGAGTGTGTATTTTCCCAAATCTAACTATCATTAACCAAAAATATAATATTTACATTACCGTGCATCGTGTGAATGTTCACAAAGTGAATGTAATGGGGAAATAATAAAGTACTGTAGTTTTATAATAAGTGACTACTGTTGTACTAACTACCTTAAACCAAATGAAATTTAAAGTAACATGTGATCAGCCTGTATCCTGCTATCGACTCAATAGTAAAACGATGATGTAAGACGCCGTAAGAAATGACATTTGGCACCCGTAGACTTGCAAGTCCCACTGTAGCGAGCAACAAGGTGTAGGATAGTCAATCCAGTATAGACTTATACGCAAACTCATACACTCCCCAATTAAGGAGATTTTGGATACAAAAACGGTCATGGTAAGTAGTGCCATGGCCCGTATAATAGCTCACATAACTGAATGTAATGTATATGTAATGTATGCTAGTTGTATTGTATGTTCTCCCTCTGTCTAGCCTGTATGTTCTCTCTGTATAGTATTGTAATGTATTGTGTGTACTAGCTGTATTGTGTGTTCTCTTTATCTAGCTAGTATTGTAATGTTCTGTGTGTACTAGCTATATTGTGTGTTCTCTCTATCTAGCAAGTATTGTAATGTATTGACTCATGCATGAACTGACTCTTTGTATGATTCATTGTTCTAGTATTAGTATTAGTAAAATCCTAAACTACGCCTATTGTAGCTTACTAGTAATATAACTTGTACGTATGAACATGGAAGTATACCCTTGCTACCTAAGGGTATTGAATTGACTGGAAGAACCTTTATGGCTATATATGTACACATGATATATAACTAATAGTTAAACAACCTTCGGACGAATACCCGATACCCTACCAGACCACATCCCAACGAGGAAAAGGAAATAAGGCGGGTTAGCCTTCCTAAGTCCTTCAAACATTACTTATATAACTATACATATCTATGCATGCAATTGACAATATAAAAGTATAAAAGAAGTTTTGTAAAAACCTTTGAAGAGTTTAAGAACTAAGAAAAGGTGACTTGATGTCAGTTTGTAAAACAGTTTGAAAACCAGTTTATTTGATAAGAACAGTTTAAAGTATAATGAATCCTTTGATTCGGAAACACAATCGTAACAGAGTTTTGAAAAGAAACATTTAGTATGTAAGACAATTTGATATAGAGTTGTAAACTAGTAAAAATGTTTTGGAAAGTTATTTGAAATAATCCACTTAAAGTGTACTAAATCTATTTGCATGCTAGTTATCAATCACATGTGATTGATATAATAACTAACATGATTCAACTTGTATCCCCCCATAAAAGCATTTAAAAACATTTAAAAGATAGATTAAGGGGTATGAACTCACCTGTAGCGAGTGGTTGGGATTGAACTCACTGTATAGGATGCTAGGTGGCAAGTGAAGACTTGCACACACTCTATGATCCTAGTTAACATATAATATCACATATATGTAACCAATTAGCCTTTAAACAATTAAATAACAAGGGTAAGACATCCTAAAACATGTTAAACACTTTATATAAGTGTTATAAGTGCTAAGGATTGCATCTAAGTGTTGTAGGACAAGGCTATTGAGTTTTAGGGTTCAAGGGAACCCTCTTTGTGAGTTTACTCCCTAAAGACCATAACCCATGTAGTTTGCAGTAGTAAACTCATGGGTTTACGACTGTAAACTCAAGTCTTCTTGACCATGAGTTGTTTTGAAGTCTTGTAAGTCCCTTGAAGTATTCCTACATTGAAGTATAAGCCTATGGAAGTGTTTGTGGCATCAAAACACCTCTAAATGGAGTTTACGGACCATGGACCATTTCTCCATGAGTTTGTTGCCGTAAACTCCTATGGAACTTGGTTTTATGATGTTTTCAAGTTCCATACATATCAAGGAATAAATCTAGACTAGTTTCCTAAGCAAATGAAGGGACTAGGGCCATTTTTGACCCCTTAAGAAGGGTTTACGGCCCAAGGTGTTCTTGGATCGTAAACACCTTTAATCTTGGTGCTTTCTTGTGCTAAAACCATAAGGGAAGGGTTCCATACTAGTTTCTAAGCATAAGGGAAGAATTAGGGGCACTTTGGCACCCAAAATAAAGTTTACAGTCCAAGAAGATCTTAGGCCGTGAACTCCTTCTTCTTGTGATTTTTGAGTGATTTCTAACATATCTATGTTGGGTTATGAGCATTCTAATACTCCTAAGTGTACATGCAACCCTAAATACCTTGGATCTATGTTTTCTCTATTATACATGCAAATATGAACATCCAAGGTATTATCCTAATCTAGCATACAAAACTATCAATATAACAAGATAGAATACATACCTCTTTGATGGTGCTTGTCTTCATGAAGCTTGAGTGCCTGGTGCCCCAAGTGTGACACCTCAAATGGTTCACAATCATCAAAACACTTAGAATAACTTATAGAGAATTCTACACTTCATGAAATCGGCTAGCCCTCTCTAGAAATAATATTAGTCTCTCTAGTGGCCGATTTTCCTCAAGAATAAGATGCTTATATAGTTATACAATTAGGGTAAACCCTAATTGTCATGACTTTCCATTTCCTTGGATCCATGACTTTCCATTTCCTTGGATCCATGGGTTCAAATACCATGGAGCATCCATGGAGCATCATATGGGTTTTGGCCCAACTAGATAATCCATGGAGCATTAGCCCACTATACAAGTATGGATGATTTACACAATCAACCCATATATTTAATTAGTCTTCTTTTGATCACTCAATTAATGCTAGATTAATTCTTGATCAATACTAATTAAATAATCTCATTATTCTTATTATTAATATACTAGAACTTATAATATATTAATAACCAT